CAACTGGTAAATGAATTTCATTGCAAGCCAGGGGACCCAGGAGACAGGGCAGGGTGGGACTGTCAGGGTTAGCAACATTCAAAGAGAAAAAGAACAGACCTGAAAAACAGAATCATGCCAGCTCCTCTCGTCATGGCTGTTGTACATTGGGCTATGAGCCACACAAACCCAGAGGCGTCTGCCAAAGGTTTCAAACAGCTGTGCAAGCACTCTTAGCACTCTCTGCCATTTGTTCAGCTGTTTTGCAGTGAGAGAGACACATATTCCCAGGCTTCCACCAAGTAGAATTCTTTTTCAATTTGGAACAATACGATTAGAATACAATTTTTTTTATTAGTTATGATTTTGTCACTCTGAATATATATTCAACTGGATGAATACATTTGCTCCTTAATGGCAGTGAATAGAATATATCATGCCACATTAAAAAATGGGAAATGCTGAAGAAATAAAAATAAATCACTCTTTTCACTTAAGAGTAGAGTCGCTGCTTAGAGAAATAGGTGCTTATTCACTTGGCAATTCAAAATATCTTGAATATAATTTGTCAAAATTCCATCACCTTCCTTCCTTTCTTGCATAGGAGCATCACAATTTCAATGAAAATGATTTAATGATGAAATCTCAGATTGCAGCATAGCCAGCTCATCTTGTATATATGAACACAGTTTTTATGTTCCAGAAATGAACTCACTGGACTTGTTAAAAATGTGAACTGCTCCTTTCCACCAAAAAAGGAGAAAAAGAAAAAAAAAAAAAGCCTTAGAAAGAAAAATATAAAAGCTTTTATTATCTGATCTTTGTTGCCTTTCACATGTTTTATAAAGACTCAGTGTGTGGGAGCTAATTATATTAGCTATCTGGGGTAACAAACTATTAATTTTGTGATTCAAAGTTATTAACCACCTTTCTACATGCAGTTCACAGGCAAATGAATGGACTTAATCCTTGTATTAAAACACAAAACAAACCAAATAATGCCATGTTTCATGACTTTTCAAAGTTGATTATCTCCTTGGCAATGCTCTACTAGAGGCCAGATATACAACTGCCACTTTAGAAAAGAGTCTCTGGCAATTGGTATTAGAAGCCCATTTAATCACGATTTAATAGTCATTCCTCTTCAGATAAGACAGAAAAGGTCACGGAGGAAAAGCATTTTTTCTCGGTGATTTAACCATACTGGGTTTGTAAAATTTCCTCTTCCAACGATCATACCAGTCCTGAGAGGGCTTGCTTGTTTCATGTGGTATATAGCTAGCACTTGCAAATTTAAACAATTCAGTGGAGAAAATAAAATATTTAAGATGATAACATTTAATGTCAAAGGAAGTTTGTAGATTTCTCTTCAGCTGGTTTTTTCTAATTCTTCAGGGAAAAATATAACATCGTTTAATTCTAAAGCAGCAATTCCATATAGATGATCTTTACTTCCTAATTATCAAAGGACATTTTATTTGTAAAAAGCATTACACATGTAAAATAACTATAGTAAATAAAGATATATTGTTATCAATCATGATGCTTGTCTGCATTTAAGGGTCTCTGTGCTCTAGCAAGCAAACAATGGTTCAGTGTATCAATAATCCCCTGGGAAACTTACAATGATTTATTTCTCTGACTTATTAAAAGCCTAGTCACAGCTCAAAGGTCTCTGAATACCCATAAAGTGAGGAAACTAATGCCAGAAAATTAAGAAATAATAGCAAAATCTCGTTACAGGAAGCCATCCGATAAGATATTACCCATTGGAAATTACTTATATTGTACAAATATTTCAAATGAAAACTTTGACTAAGCTATGTCAATAAATTATGCTTTCATGAAACTCATTTTTTTGCTTCCATTGCTATATCACATACCTCATTTATATAACCATTTCCTCTCCTCTAAAAGGAAATTTAAAATTCATCCTAAAGTAATATTTAAATGGAGACATTTCTTTCTATATGATTCCCTTTTGAAGTTTTCTGATTTCAAGTAAAGTAATGGTTTTAGCATAAAACACATCAGTAATTTGACAATGTTACACATTAAATAATTATTATTCAATAGCTACTCAGAGTGTGAAACAGTAAGTGAAATCTTAAGTTTAAGAAATTATTCTCAGAATATAATTTGGTGGTATTATTATTATACTTATGCTTGAGCTTTAGATAAATAACAATGCTGAATATTGGGAGATGAGTTCTGCATAAAACTTTATATGATGCAAACTAAAACCCATTAAAACTTCCTCTCATCCTAGTTTTTCCAATGACAAAATATATAGAAAAGCTTATATTTTTAAGAAAATTATTATGGAAAATTTATTTAAAATAACTGAATCAAAATATATTAATAGGGTATAAAAACTGTACACTTATCCTAAGGGCTATAAAATGAATAATTTATTCTTGGATGAGAAAGCTCGATTTTATATTATTTCCATAGGCTCAATATAATCCCAATGAAGTCAATAAGAGGTTTTCTTGGCAACAGGGAGGAGAGCAGGTTTCATGAATATAGAGGAAGGGATGAATGTATAAGAATAGTCAATAAATTTACGTAAATTAAATTTTATTACATTAAGAACTTTCAGTTTTAATAATTATTCTTAACTAATGGGATACCATGCAATACATGTTCCTGGAAGCACTCTATTATAGTGAAAAACTATAAACAAGCTACCAGTATCGGGCTGGTTAGGTAAATAATGTCTCATCCACATAGTGAAACACTCCCCTGTCATTAAGAATGATGATAGGTTTCTGAATTTTCAATGAAAGGTGTTAATTAAAAATTGGTAAATGAAAACAGCTGGTTACAAAATAGTATACAAGATATTCAATCTTTTTAAATATGCATAGAAAAATATCTACAAATGATATATATATATATATTATATACACACACCCAGTAAATGTGATTTTCTCTGGACAGTAGTACAGAGAAAATCTGTACTACTGGTTTTTTTTCAGCTTTTATACTTTTTGACATTGTGGGAATTTTTGATTATTAAAATATGTTATTTTTATAATCATAAGAAATCCCTTTAGCATTTGTGTGTGAGAATTTATAGATATCAAATAAAATAAAATTGAAAGAAAGTGGATACAGATGGCTTCTGGAAGAAAAATCCAATAGGACCACACTTTGAGGAGGGTTTCTACATTAGGGACTTTGCTGCTTATCCATTGCTTTTAGTGTGCAAGGACTCACAGGGATACATGGTACTACAAAGAGAAATCACATAGGCTTTAATTTCCTAGTGGCCAGTTTCCTTTTCTCACCATTTTTTTGCTGACATCAAGGTGAACACAGTAGTGATGGAGTCTCAGTTTATATCACTACCTCCTACTGCTCCTACTGCAGTTCCTACACTTAATATGAAAGCTATATTTTAATGCCATCCTTGCTTAACTAAAATGAATGATAATCCAATAAGTACATCTCTTGACATGAACCATACTAAAATATGCCTCAGTGATTTCATACAAGAGTTTTATTAAAGAAGGAAAATGTATGGTAATATTAATTACCACAATGTAGAGTTTAAATCCTTTTAACAAAAAGCTTAGTTTTTCTAGCTCCGATTTCATGTTTTAAATAATAGTTTATATGAATATTAGCTAAGGTGTAAGTTCTACTGAATAAAAATATTTGCCATAAAAATGATGTAATGAAAATAATGACAACTTATATTTATGGAGTATGTACTATATGCAAGCATAGTTCTATTAATAAAAGTACTTTATGTACATTAAGCCAATTATTCCTCAAAGCAATCTGTGAGATAGTTGCTATTATTATCCCTGTTTCCCCCATGAGAAAACTAAGGCTCAGAAGTCTAATAAGTCCTTTGCCCAAAGTCACAGAGCTAAAAAATAACAGAGCAAGGAACTTATTAATCCAGATAGTCTGACTCTGGACCATTTTTTTCTTTTCAGATTTTTAAAAATTTAAGTAAGCTTTTAAGTTTAGTTTTAGATTTACAGAAAAGTTGTGAAACATAATACAGAGAGTTCATGTGTACTCCTCACCTAGCTTCCCCTCTTATTAAAATCTTACATTATAGGATGCACTTGTCACAACTAAGGAACTCACATTGGTACGTTGATATTAACTAAACAACTTTATTTTGATTTTACCAGTTTTCCCTAATGCACTTTTCTGTTCTAGGATTCCATCCAGGGACCATGTTACATTGAGTTGTCATGTCTCCCTAGCCTCTTCTGGGGTTTTGAAAATTTCTCAAACTTTCCTTATTTTTGATGTCCTTGACAGTTTTGAGGAGTACCAATAAGATTTTTGTGGAATGCCTTTCAATTTAGGTTTGTGTATTTTTCATAATTGGACTGGGGTTATGGTTTGGGGAGTAAGACCACAGAGGTGAAGTACCATTATCAAGGGGACATGCTACCAACATGACTTATCTTTGATGGTGCCAGTACCTTATCAAGGGGACATGCTACCAACATGACTTATCTTTGATGGTGCCAGCCTTGAAGACCTGGCCCAGGTAGTGTTTGTCTGGTGTCTCCATGTAAAGTGTTTGTCTGGTGTCTCCATGTAAAGCACTGTCCTACCACTTTCCATGCCCTGCTTTATGGAAAAAAGTTACCAGTCAAAGCCCACAGTCAAGGAAGGGTGGGTATCTATATGAATTACTTGGAATTCTGCTGTCAGCGCCCTCTTTTTTTTTTTTTTTTTTTCCAGAGCCAGAGTCTTGCTCTGTTGCCCAGGCTAGAGTGAGAATCCTCATTTTTAACCCATTACTCTAAACTGCCTCTCACATCCTACTACTTCTCATCATCTGACATATTATTCATATATAATAGTTTAAAAACACAATTTTTAACTAATTTCCTGCTTTTTCAAAAATCCAAAAATATGTTAGAACCAAATGTGACAACAGATGAATTTGGTTTAAATGACTTTCCATAGACCACTGTAGATTTTGTCCCTAAGTGACTAATTAGAAACTAATTTTTCTGAGACGCACTCAGTAAAGAACTTACAAGAAATATTCGTTCGAGTTGATCCTGAATGTCTTTCATTCCTGGAAAAGCAGCAACTCCTTGGATCATCTCAACAAAGATGCAGCCGACTCCCCTAAACAAAGAAGAAAGAATCATTACAAATCTTCAATACACTCTCCTTAGAAAACTGTATCTGGAATTAGTTTTCTCCTATAGAGAAGAAGCAGTGAATGGATAAATGATGTTCTTGGTGAGCACCAAGAGCTGTGTGACATATACCCAGACCCAATAGCTTTCCTTCTCCCCCTCTATTGCCCTGCCCTGAAAGATCTCTAAATAGATGCAACTACACTGGGCTCAGAAGACAGTAGACACCAATAAAATAGTGAATCCCAGTGGCTCTCCTTACCTATAGGATATAGCTGAGAAGTCTTTAGCCCCATACAGAAGAGTCTCCACAGTCATGTTCTAACATCTTTTTCCAACTACTTCACAGTGTACTGTAGTCTCTAGATGTTCAGTGTTTCTCAATCCTTTTTGCATCACAGTCATCTGGGGAACTTTTAAAAACTACCTATGCTCTGACCACAAGCCCCAGAGATTCTGTTTCAATCAGTCTAGCTGGAGACCAGCACTGACACGGGGTGCTCAGATGATTCAGGGCAGCTACACCGAGGATCACTGAGCCAGTGATGTACCCAAGTGCCAAACATAAACCTATACAACTTGGTTCACATTACTACACTACCTAGAATACCCGCCTTCTTCATCTGTTTGCTCTTGATATCTAAATCCAGCCCAACCTCTATAATCCTGTTTAAACGCATCTTCTCCATGAGGCCCCTCTCCACAAATATTTCAGCAGACAAGACTGCTCTGCTTATGAGGTTGCTGATTAAACCTTTACTCAATAAAATACTCATCTACTATGCTCAGCCTCCTCTCCTAGCTTAACCTCCCATGCTCACAGTTCCTACCTAGCAAGGTAGTCCAGCAAGGTAGTCCTTAGCTCCCAGACCAAGCAGCCTGCACCTAACCCAACAGAACAACCAATCCAGAGCATGGGCAGAGAGCCAATTAAATACTTCTGCTGGGACTTTGGAGAACAAAGGGAGAAGGATGGTACGACACTAGCATATATATATGGGATAAGTCACATTAATGGCAGAGAACTAGCATGAATGGACACATATTCCTGCAGCTGAAGACTCCTGAATCGACCTGGTTCTTGCCTTCTGAAGGTCTGGATGTTCAGATACTCTCGTGTCTTTTCCAGAACTCTCTACCTCCCAGAAATTCTCTAGGTTTTTTTTAAATAACTCTACTTTGAACGGGTTTATGTTTCCTGCAACTATTCTGATAAAACCATGAACACACTGGGACACTTCTTCAATTGCTGCACTCATATTCAACTTAGAGAAAGCAAACTCTCATGTCTTTAACTTATTTCAGAACCCTATGGATTAAGGGCAAGTGACCAACTTTGCTGCAGATGCTCCAGTTGTTATCATGGTTGTATATAAACAATGTTTTGAATGAAAGAAGTAATAAATTTGCAAAGATCTCTTCCCCATTATAGCACATCATTTCTATTCAAATTAAACACCAGTGGTATACAGTGTCAAAATAACTAAAAACAAACAAATGCTCCTTTATATCATAAAAAATAATTTCATTTAAGTAGTAAAGAACTAATTTAAAATCAGTGCTCTAGGCAGATGGGTTTTAACAAAAGTTGTTTTCATTTTAGATTTGAGAGATAACATAGGTATCTGGGAGAATTATTTTATTAGTATATTAAAATACAATAATATGCTTATAAATATTGGGGCTTCAGATGTCTGGGTAAGTCTGTTTATTCATATCATTCCAGTATGGTGGTTTTCCAAACTTTTCTGCCAATTCTAAGACTACTGACCCACATTTCTATTGTCTTCTTATTTAAGTTTACATAAAATATCTTGGATCTCAAATAGCTACCTGCACCTTCCTTTTCCACACTCCGCATATACTCTCTATTCTCCACCTTTCAGCCTTTATCTTTCCCACCACAAGCTGCAACTTTGAGTGTGAGCAGTCCCAGCAAAAGCCATAGTCATCCCTGTAAGTACACAGCTAAGCTGGTTAGGAGGGTGACTGTTACACTGTCAAAACTATTTACAGAATTTATTTTTCCGCATCTTATGCTTACTCCACATCATCTCCATTAATATGATACTTAGAATGATTCAAAGATAAATCTATGCTTCAATTCTATTCAGTTGGAATGAAATGATATAGAATTTCTATAGGCTCTTACCTGCTTAGCTGGCTAAGGGACTTGTACTTCCCTTTCTAATAGATGTTTCCTATGACATCATCTTGTTCAAAGATGCTTGAGTGTGTACTAATGATGCTGGGAGAATTATACTTAAAGTACTTATAAAAAAGATATAATGCATAAGAAAATAACAAGGTAGATATATAAAACATACCAACATATTAATGTAGAAGAATTCTGTATTATTGTGAATACTATTACTGGAGCTATCTTACTGCAAAATAGCAATAGAAGCTCTTCAATGTCATATAAAGGGACTGTTTGTTGCCTGTTTCCCTTTTTCCTCCCCTTTCTACCCTCCATTAGCCCTATGCTCCCTCTCTCTTGATGGATTAAGTTGACTGCACTGAATGGTTTACTGAGAAAAAATTCATACTCCTAAGCACTATACTTGTGATACATAGTCTTATGCCAGCAAATGTCTCCTTTTCTGCTTCTTTTTGAAATTTGAATAATTATGTAATTATCACCCACTTAATCTAAATTTTTCAAGAATAAGAACTGGTCATAAAAGTTTACAATTAAAGGTGTCATTGGATGCATTATGGTCGAACTCTTATTTTAGGATTAGTTATCTCGTAAGATAATCTATAAATACCCACCTAGCCTCACACATTTTCCAATTTTTTTGAACTCAAAATTTCTAAATTTAATTTATGTCTCAGGTATATGAATGATTTTTTATCACAATTCAATTCATTTTAAGTTTTCCCTATATGAGGAAAAAAACCAAAACAAAACCAAAATGCCTCTGTACATTTTGATAAGCTTTTTATTGGAAGCAACATGAGCCGTCTAGAACTGCAGGTTGAGAATGAGAAATGTCAGTTAAGGTTCCACCTTAAAGAATTTGGGCAGCAAACTAATTAAAGATTAATTAAGTTTGATATGAAGTATTTGAAAACATATATATATATATATATACTCTATGGCCAAGGAATCCAAGATGAAAAAATTTATCTAAACTATTATATATCGGGCACAGGGGTGGTAGTGTGTGGAATGCAGAGAAAAAATGAAATTCACAGGGAAGGAGTAAGAACTTTTCTCCATCAGAGTAGGGAACAGACAAGTTCAATGTTACTTCTTTGGGAAGGCTTCCTGACCGCTCAGACTGGGTTAGGTCTCCCTAACTCCATGCTCCCTGTGATATTTCCTGCAACTGTAATTTATTTATTTACTTATAAATGTATTAGCCACCACTATCTTTCTCAGAAAGAGAATTTGATCTTTTATTTTTAAAGATATAGTGTAAATGAGTGAAAGGGGTTACAGCAATATAGCAACACTACTAGACCTGAATAAAACAGGGTTAGGTCACTGAAGTTACCAGTTAATATACAATGTAATGTATGTATTTGTTCATCAAAGTCCTGTTGGGATTTTACAGTGCAGGATAACATCCTATCTTTCAACTAAAACAGTGATTAATTACATCCATCAGCACATATACTCAAAGAATATCAGCCTTTGACATGATATTGCAAGCAGAATGTACCCAGTACATTTTCTTATAAAGACATTGTTACAAGATGTTAATTAACCCAACAAATGATTATCTCATATGAACAAGTGTAAAAATAAGAACTAAAAGTTGTTATTTATCTAGCTGACATTAATCTAATTTTAGGCTTACCCAAAATCTATCAAAAAATAAAACACTGTTCTTTAATTCTCAAGGCAAAAGTTTGGCTAAATCTCAGTAGACAATACAGAAAGACTTTAATATTTTAAAATACGATACAACTAAAATCTCAAAAAACACCTCCTAGATTTTAGTTTTGAATTTCATCCACTTATTAGCAAAGGCTTTGGATTCCTTGAGACAGATAGGTTTAAGCAGAGAGTGAAAGTTTCACTCTCCAATAGCAGCGTTTACCAGCAAAGCCCAGGAGGGATCATGCACACCTGTGCAGAGGAAACAATGACCCACCCAATGTACACTATCACGCTGGGTGTCACACAGATTTCCCTAACTGAAAGTTATAAGAGGCATCTTTGCAAGTTCAGAAAATTATTTAGAGCCATTCAGAACGATCTGCATTGTCAAATGTGGCCCTCTTTGGAAAGAGAGCTGTAGACAAAGGCAGTTTCAAGCTGCTTCTGCCAGGGGGCAAGCAGATGAACAGAACCATAACTCACTGGAGGTCAGTTCTTTTGTCTTTCTGCCTTTTAACATTATACTGGCACCAGAAATGTCCTCAAAGCCTATGTATCTATCCACAAAAAAAGAAAAAAAGAAAAAAAGAAAAAACAACAACAACTTGAAGCAGTGCTTCTCATCCTTTAATATGTATGCTAATCACATGGGGATCTTGCTATTATAGGATTCAGATTCTGATTTACTAGGTATGAGTTGGTGCCTGAGACCCTGCATTTCTAACAAGCTTCTGAGCCATATTCATGCTGCTGTTCTCAAAATCAGATATGGAGGAGCGCAAATCTAAAGGAATCTAGGTAATTCTGTTTTGAAAGGCGTATAACTCATATTAATTCTCTGAACGTGTATTTGGGCTCCAACCAAAAGAACAACAAAGAAACAGCAGACTGGTGAAATAAGTTAGAGTAAATGCATAACACAATCTAAATTTAACACATAGGGATGCAATACTAGCTCAGAAAGGTTCCGCGTTAATTAACTTAATAGGTAATTTTATTTAGCCATGGTTCACTGAAATACGCCATTATACAATTATTTGATGCACCAAGGTAGCCAATTATTTATCTCGCTATCCTCTGAACGAATGTATACTTCTGTAAAAATACCAGAGTTTTTGTTCCCTAGGAGGTCAGCTTCTAAAAGATAAAAATTA